TGGTTTATTCTGGAAATCATAACTTATATGAACTAAACCAAAATAATTAAACTGTTTTAGTAAAATAGAAATTCCATTGTTGAAGAGTGGATAGTCTGAGACGGGGAGAATGGCTTTGCACAAATCTTCTATCTTCGTGGGTTCAGACACCAAATGTTCCTCTTGGAAAGTGGAGAAGCTTATAGGGAGAGTGGATTTAAACGAATATTCAAGTTTTCTGGGTAATTATTACTCATAATTACTCTTTTGAGCATCTATGATTACCAATTTGCTCGGCCAATGATGTCAATGTTGAGGTAATTGTTGTCACAGCAAAATTTCCTTCCAAAAAGCTAAGAGTTTCGAATTTCAATTATATCATTAGATAATTTTTTTTTCATTTGCACGTGTATTTATTTTTTATTAATAATATATTATTTATTTCTTCAAATTATTATCAAAATCTATCCTCCAAAATTATTTATCAAAAATCACTTAAAAAGATATTTATATTTCATTTGAGTTTTGAGTAATGTCAACTTTATTCATCTTTCCTAGTTCTCTCATAATTAAATTAATTATAATATAAGCAAAATATAGAAAACAATAAAATATTGATTATGTAAAAATATGGGCAAAATTAAATTAATAATAATATAAGCAAAATATAGAAAACAATAAAATATTGATGATGTAAAAATATGGGGAAAGATGGTATTTTGACATGATAAAAGGGTAGTATATCTATTATGCAATTTTTATTAATAAATGAAGTTGTTGAATAGATGATTATTGATATTAGATTGTTAAATTTTTTAATAAGAACGTGTCATAATTTTTATAATATTTTATATATAAACCTAGCACCAACATGGCTCCCCTCACTCTTGTTGAAGTGTTGCACACGGAGTCTGATACTGATACCGCCACGATACGTTGAAACTACGTGTCCGACTCCTTTTTGCAATGTCCACAAAATAAAAAACGAGTTACGGGGCTTCAAGTTTTGGTGGACACGGCATGACCCAGATCCGACACGATGTCAATACGGCTTCAATTCGATGGTGATGATAAGGTATAGTTTTTATAAAAAAAATTTAAAATTTAATAAAAAAATGTAATTTTTTCCATTTACATTCTTTTTTCTCCCGCTTTCCTTCCTTCCTCTGCACGTTTCCATTTCTGCTCCAAAGGCTTTCCTTTTTCATCTAAAAATTCTTTGGTTCTTCCTTTTGCCATTGCAAAGATTTTTCCTTTTCTCTTGCTTTACTTGCTTCCACTTACTTTCTTCTGCTGCGTGCTACTGTATTTTCTTCTGTTGCTTGCTACTGTATTTTCTTTTGCTGCATTGTACTCTGTTTTCTTCAGTTGTGTTCTGCTGTATTTTCTTCTGTTGTATTGTGCTCTATTTTCTTATGTTGCATCGTGCTCTATTTTCTTCCACTGCTTCGTGGTCTACTGGTCTGTTTTCCTCCGCTGCGCCATGCTTTGTTTTCTTCCGCTGTTCATTGAAGCTTTACTGTTCAGTTTGCTCTGTTTTGCTCTCTGCCATTTAGGTTTTCATTGTTGTTCATTCTGTTGTTCAGGTCTTCATTGTTGTTCAGGTATTCCACTGCATCATGCTCTATTTTGTTATCCACTGTTTAGGTTTTCGTTTTGCTTTGTTTTTCTTTATAATGTTTCATTTTTTTATTAGAATACGATAGTTATGGAATCATGAACATAGAAAAATCATATGTTATTGGTTTCATTTTTGTAGAAATGAGTAATTCTAGTCAGCCTTTTCAAGATGATGATATCAAACCCCTATGGAATTATGTTATAAAGATAAAAAGTGTTGGTGGAGGTGGTGGAATTTATGAAGTAAAATGCAATATTTGTGACCTTACTTTCAGTGGATCTTATACTAGAGTGAGAGCACATTTGTTGAAGATTACGGGAAAGGGAGTTAGAGGTTGTCAAAAAATAATACCCTTGAAGCTTGATGAACTAACAAAGCTAGACAATGAAGCTACATTGAAGATAGAAAGGTCTAAGGCAAAATTTGTCCCTTTGCCTCCGATTTCTAATTAATCATCTATGGACAACAATGATGGTGTTGATCTCAAAAAAAGGAAAACATCTGGACCACTAGATAAAACTTTCAATATGCAAGCTAGAGAGACATGAGACTATGAAATTGCTAGGATGTTTTACTCATCGAGATTGTCATTTCATTTAGCAAGAAATCCTTATTATAGGAGAACTTTTTCTTTTGCTGCCAATAATTATGTAAGTGGATATCAACCACCAGGTTATAATAATTTGAGAACAAGTTTGCTTGCTAATGAAAGAAGACATGTAGAGAAGCTTTTGGAGCCGATCAAAAATACGTGGAGTCAAAAAGGTGTTAGCATTGTTAGTGATGGGTGGAGTGATCCCTAAAGAAGACCTCTTATTAATTTCATGGTTGTTACAGAGAGTAGATATATGTTTTTGAAGGCTATAGAATGCTCTGATGAGATTAAAAATAAAGATTTTATAGCCAAACAAATGAGAGATGTAATTATGGAAGTTAGACCTTCAAATGTGGTGCAAATTGTGACTATAATGCGCCTATATGTAAGGCCGCAGGTTTAATGATTGAAGCTGATTTTCCTTGTATTTATTGGACCCCTTGCGTTGTGTACACTCTAAATCTTGTTTTGAAAAATATATGTGCAGTAAAGGACACAGAAAAAAAAAAAAAACAATATTGCTTATTAAGAATGTTCTTGGATCACAAATATAGGAGAAGATGTTAAGTTCATAAAAAAAATTATCATGGGTCACTCAATGAGGTTATCTATTTTCAACTCATTCAAGTTGCTTTCTGTTGCTCCAACAAGATTTGCTTCTACTATAGTCATGCTTAAGAGATTTAAGCAATTGAAAAAAGGACTCCAAGAGATGGTTATTAGTGATGAATGATCTTCTTACAAGGAAGATGATGTTGGAAAAGCTAAATTTGTGAAAGATACATTATTGGATGATGTTTGATGGCATAAAGTTGATTATATACTTTCTTTCACTAGTCCCATTTATGATGTTCTAAGAAAAACGGATACGAAAGCTCCATCTCTCCATTTAGTATATGAAATGTGGGACTCAATGATTGAAAATGTGAGAAAGGTCATTTATCGATATGAAAGAAAGGCGAAAAGTGAATAATCAAGTTTTTATAATGTTGTGCACTCCATATTAATTGAACATTGGATAAAGAGTAGCACACATCTCCATTGTTTAGCACATTCTTTAAATCCAAGGTAATATTTTATATTCCTAAATAAGATTTTAGATACATTTTTATTGTTATCATGATTTTTATTTATATTGTAGATATTATAGTCATGAATGACTAAGTGAAGATTCTAATAGAGTTCCTCCACGTCAAGATATGAAACTTACTCGTGAAAGGGTGAAATGTTTTAAACGATATTTTGTTGATGTGGATGTGAGGAGACAAGTAAATGTAGAGTTTGCAAATTTTTTAGATGGAAGAGAAAATTTTGATGACATTGATTCATTAAGTGAAAGGGGTAAGATGGATGCAAAATCTTGGTGCTCATGCTCTAATACTTCAAAAATTGCTCTTAAACTACTTGGGCAACCATGTTCTTCTTCATGTTGTGAAAGAAATTGGAGCACTTACTCTTTCATTCATTCTATGAAAAGAAACAAGATGACACCATATAGGGCGGAAGATCTAGTATTTGTTCATAGCAACCTCCGTCTTCTTCAAGGAATTCTCCACAATATAACCAAGAGGAAATAAAAATGTGGGACATAGCAGGAGATGCATTTGGATCACTAGATGAGAGTGGAATGCTTGAAGTTGCTAATTTATCACTTGCTGAACTGGAGCTAGAGAGTGTATTTTTCAATGATGATGATCATGGAGGTCATTGTCTTTAATAGATTTGATTCATCTTCTTATTTTGGGACTTTCTTTTTATAAAAAGACAAAGTTCTTACATTGTGAAATAATGTTTCTTACTATTTTTTGGTTAGGATATCATATGAAAATTGTAAAGTCTAATAACTTTGTCTTGAGAAAATGAATGAAAAATCTGAATTTTTAATTTATATTTTTCTCATTTGAATCATATTTAAATTTTTATTCATGTCTAATATATATAAGGTGTCTCGATATCCTGTATTTTAGAACTTCGTCGTATCCGGTGTTCGTGTCGTGTCCCAGTGTCCATGTCGGAGTTAGTGCTTCATTATATAAACCTCTTAATAATACTAAATTAATTAACAAATGATATGTATCATAATAAAAGATATTATAATACTCTATTAATTACTCAATAAATAATAAAAAATATAACAATATTTTTATTATATAATATAATATAAATAACCAAACTTTTATAATATTGAATGTATTCATATTATATATTATGTATCGTGAATACAAATGTAAACAGGTACGGTATGACTTGCTAGAAAAATCATTTCCAAACTATTACCTTAATCTTTTAGCACTGTAAACCAAAGACATTGCATTCAAAATGTCTACCAAAACATGACAAAGATCTTGAGTAATTGCTGATATATCTCCCTCAATGTGACAGAAGTAGAAACTAAAAAAGATGTGAGAATATCATTAACACTGTTAGCATCACCACCAAGGGATTATATACTTCAAACAAAATTAAAGTGAGATCCCTATATCTGTAGCTCGTTGTAAGGTTCCAATTTAATTTAATCCACCACCTGTTTCAATATCTTCACTAGCAATCAAATTTGCTACTATTGTTGCCCGAGCAGCTTGAAATTAATCATGTCACAATTATGGTATTTTCATAATATGATAAAAACAAATAAGTTTACATGGTCTTTTCATATAAATTTAAAAATTATTTATTAATTACAATACATTTTGAACTATTTTGAATTTTGATGGATAAAACATATATGGATTGTACTTCTCGTAGTTCTTGAAGTATCTCGCTCCTTGTTTTACAGTATAGTTTTTCATATGCAAAACAATGCAGGGATACGGTTTAACTGAGTCGTGTGCCGGGGTTGCCCGAACCTCGCCAGAAGAGGATAAGCGAGTGGAAACAACAGGTAAACTGATATCAGGGGTGGAAGCCAAAATTGTGAACCCAAACACAGGAGAAGCCATGTTTCCTGGTGAACAAGGAGAACTCTGGCTCAAATCACCTTCTATTATGCAAGGTAAGTAATCATTACTTAAACACTCAAGTTTAAATGCAGGATATTCTTACCTTTAGCAACATTCTACTTAACAATTTCTGTCATGATTCATGTTTTGAAAAACATATGTTTCTAAACCTCCCGTTCAACTTATTTATGATCCTTGTCAATGCATGGACTATGTTGGAGCAGGTTACGTTGATGACCCAGAAGCAACTGCAGCAACTTTGGTGAACGGGTGGTTAAGGACAGGGGACCTTTGTTATTTCGATAACGACGGTTTCTTGTATGTTGTGGACAGATTGAAAGAGTTGATCAAATACAAGGGCTACCAGGTAACCATTCTGGCATTGTTCAAAATTTGTAGCAGATTTAGGTGTGTTAATCTGGATCCGATACCCAATTCTCTTCGGGTTAGATTCGATTTTTTAGTAGAGAAACCAAAATAGTTGGTTTACAGTAAAAAATATTATTTTCATGCTAGTTTGGTGAGGGGATAGAGGAACAAAAATGTGGGTTTACTAGTCATTGGTTTGATTGTAAAAATTTTGAGTTTGGGATGTGCTATAAAGTCCATGTTGTATAACAAGATAACCATGAATTAATGGGAAACTCCACCATCGATCTAATGGTTTTGTAATGACACAATGCGATTCTAAAAATCTTGTTCAAAACTATGATTTATTATTATAAATCTTACATAATAAGAATCAAGTTATTTAATGGACATAATAATAAAATCTTGTATCTCGGTCTGAGTCCTGATCCAAAAATTTTAGATCTAAAGTATAACAACCCATTAAAAGGGATTTAGTATTAAGTTACAACAAAGTTCACTAAACAAGAAATATAACTTATCAAAATCTATACATTTTTTGGTAATAACATTTGGCGTCGTCCGTGGGGACGATAAAATGTTTCCCACTACATGAAAGGAAAAATACCAAAAAGAATGAGAGGAACAAGAAAACTCTATGGGAAGATAATAAGCAGGGGAAAGGGTTGCAAGCATCCATATCTCCCTAAGTTCAACCACTAGATTTTTATGAGCAATATACAAACATCACCAATAAACACACATAAGATAAGATTAAAGAAACAATCAAAACCATGCAACCTTTGATAAAGAATTATTTTCCATTTTCAATATAAAATGGGAGGATGTTGGGGGATTTATCATTTGAAAAATAAATTTAAATAATGTACCATAAGATGTGTAAAATATGTTGAATATTATGAAAGGCTTAAGGTTGATCTTGAGACAAGATTTTTGCTATGGACCTCTTAGTTGTAGTAAAATACTAATTGACAAAGCAGTTTTTAATGAGGTTTGTCATAAGGTTTTGACATGATCTGATATGAGTGCACAATGACTCGTTGAAGTCGAACGACTCTATAAAATGATCATTTGAGGTTAGACGACTCTATATGATGATCCTTTGATATTAGACGACTCTATATGATGATCCTTTGATATTAGACGACTCTATATGATGATCTTTTGAGGTCAAACAACTCTACATGATGATCCTTTAAGATCAGACGACTCTTCACGATGTCCTTTTGAGGTCAGACAATTCTATACAATAACCTTAGGTACGATAATAGCGTACTCGATATAATATTATTGTCAATGACCTACCTAAGCTTCATCATTTGTAACTTAAGGTTGAGGGACTATGTGGTGTCTGAATGAAGGGTCTCGCCTTGTAACCGAATGATGACATAATAAAACAATCACTTAACTTATTTCGAGTCTTAGTGTCTATGACTTGAGGCTGAGGGACTATGTAGTGTCCAAATAAATTATCTCCTTGTATGATCGATCCAATAGTTCAGTCAAGATGCGATCTTCTTCCTTAGGGGTGTGATTCCACAAGTTTCACCCAAAATTATGATTTATCATCATAAATCTCGCATAATGAGAATCACACTATATAATGAACATAATAACAAAATATTGGGCCTTGGCCAAAGATTCTAGATCCAAATAGAACAACCCATTAAAAAGAGATTTAGGGTTAGATTTTAACAAAGTTCACTAAACAAGAAATATAGCTCATCAAAATCGAGAGATTTTTTGGGAAGTAACAAGACTAAAAATGAACCCGGTTCATTTAACTCAAGGGTTAAACAGATTCTAGTTAGGTTATGGTGGATTGACCCGCAACCATCTTTTATTTTAAATTTTAAAAATAAGTATAATAATTTAGTGACCTTAAATAATGTTATTATATCTTTCCACCTCTATTTCACGTTGCCCCTACAAATAAAACTCATTCAATTTGTTGTGTTTGTCGCACCATAGTATTTGTCATGTCACTGTGTTTCAGTTGCGTCAAAGCGTTTCCCGCATTTAAATCTCGATTTTAGTCGCATCACAACATTTGTCATGTGACCGTATCACTACGTTTCGATCCCGTATTTTAGTTGTGCCATAGTGTTTGTCACGTCACTGCATTTGTTGCACTACTATGTTGGTTACATTACCGTGTTTTAATCATGCCACAATATTTATCACATTTCAGTCACATCACAATGTTTATCTTACTTATTAGAAAAAAAAATATATTAGTTAGTGAAACAATTCACCTAACCTATGAGTCGGGTTATGAAATTTTTTGTTTACCATAAAATGAGTCAAATTGAACTTACATATTTACATTTTAATTCATAATAAACTAACTCAACTGACTAGACAGTCTAAACATATTTTTTAAATATTAAGTATAAATTACTTGTTCCATGTTATTATTTTTGTTATATATATATAGACATTGAAAAGATTATTGTTATGTGTTGCAGGTTGCTCCTGCAGAGCTAGAAAAAAGGCTCCTGTCTCACCCAGAGATAAATGATGCTGCAGTTATTCCGTAAGATTCTTTTTTACCTAATATTATCTTTAATTCTAGTTACCTTATGAGTTATTTATCAATACAAGTATTACTTATAATAAGTTTTATAGGTACAGAAATTAATTTTTATATTTTGAAAACTTGGTTATTAAATATTTGTTACCATAAACTTACTCTACATACCAAATTACACTTTTATTAACATATAAACACACACGAGCATATTAAACAAGAGGATAAAATTCTAATCTTAAAAAAATAAAATGAAGAAAACATATTGGGTTGGATCAATTTGGACAAATAATCTAATGACTCTAAAATAGGTTAAATTAAGTTAAAGACAGATTAGATTAGATCAAAACTAATTGAAAACATATTAAAACTAAGTAAATAATATATATATATATATATATATATAAGAGATATGAATTTAAGAAACGAAAAAGTAAGTAGAATTTTAAATTTCATTATCAAATAATTTATTTTGTAATTAAAAATTTCAAATCTTTTAATAAGATGAATTACCTTTTACAAATTTTTTATCCAAATATAAATTTAATGTTAGAATGAATTGAAAAAAGATTGGTAAAAAAATTTTAATTTATCATTAAATGGACTACATATTTTTTACTAATATGTATATGTTATTTACAGTGATAATAAAAAAAAAAAACTAATATGAACTGTATACGAGAAAATGAGTTTGATCCATTAGGAATAATAGCCCTAGTATAATAGGTTAAAACTATGAGATATAATTATAGTTCTTAATACATTAAATCATTAAATAGTTTTTTCTTCTCTTCAATATGATGATTTTATTAAATTACTAAATTTGATTAAACCAATTATTCTTATCATGATATCTTTTTTTTATTTTATGAACAAAATATATTAATTGATAATCGGTTTCCATCTATGATATAGGTTGAGAATTATATTTTATTAATATAATATGTTTATATTTACTTTTAAATCTTCTAATATATTATCATTAATATTAATCATCATATATGAAAGTTTATATATACTTGATTTGTTTTTTAATCTATTAGATGTTTTTAAAAGATAAAATTATAATAAAATCTTAAATATATTTAGAAGTCATCTATTATTTACATTTTTCTTCCTGGATTAACAGATACCCTGATGAAGAAGCCGGGCAGGTGCCCATGGCGATTGTCGTAAGAAAACCACAAAGTTGGCTTAGTGAAGCAGAAATAATTGATTTTGTCGCCAAACAGGTACTTTTCCCCTTCTGCTTTCTGTTGTACAATGAAATTTTGAACTTTGAAACCCTAAAATATATTTTAACGTATAGTTTTATAAATTAAGATAAATATTATTTTTTATTATTTTTAATATATTTATTAATTTTAAATTGTTTGAAAATAGGGATGATAACATAAGAGATGCAACTAGTTGCTACTCATCCTATTGTCTACATCCATTTAAAAAATAATTGTAGGTATTTACGGATATTTATGAATGTTTTAAAAAAAAAACGTTAACAAGAAGTGATTTCTGAACACAAATATCACATAAATTTATAAATTAACCACAATCACTCTAACCATTTTTAATTATTCGGATAATTTTCCGAAAACAATAGTTTAAAGGCCAACGAATTTACTTTTCTTTTCTTTCCTTCCATTATAAATGCATAAGATTTCTCATATTTTATGTAAACGTAAACTAATTGCATTTAAAAAAAAAAAAAACACTTCTTGTGAAATATAAATTTAAATGAAATTTTACTTGAAAAGAGAAATTCTATATAAAACTAATAATATATTATTTTTTTTAGTAAATTAGATAAATTCACATTTTACCTATTGTCCATAAAGGCATTTTAGTAAATTCATATTACTGAATAATAGAGGTAGTTAAGGTAATTGGAAAGTTATCTTCGACTCAGTATCCAGCTTATTCAAATACGTATATTTAATAATATTATTATTAGTTATCTAAAAAATTTCTATTTTATTGTAGTTGAAAATATATAAATATATAACTGACTTGAATAAAATTATTATTAATTTATATTATTTAAAAAGTGAATTACCCACTTAGACGTAAATATTATTACTTTGGTGTTCTTTTGTCGGGCGCAGGTTGCACCGTACAAGAAAATAAGGCGCGTAGCATTTGTGGAATCAATACCCAAGAATGCCTTGGGAAAGATACTGAGGAAGGACTTGAATAGGCTTGTTCTCTCTAGGTTATAATAGTGCTTCAATAAAAACACAGGAAAAAAAGCTCATTGTATTAGAAAGACAAGGAATGTTTCATACATCAAAGTATTGAATTATCTATTATATATGTAAGCACCAATATTTTTATATTCCTACGAATAATACTTGTGGCGAAGTAACCTATTCTTCTCTCCTCCATATCTTATAACTCCATTTAAAAAAAAAAGTGTCAATTATTTTCTCTTAGGGTACGTTTGGATCTAAGCGCGAAAAAAGAATGGAAATTAATTTGCAGAGAAAATGAGAAAAAATGAGACGTTGGAAAGTAAAAAAAAAGGAAAAATAATATATATATATATATATATATATATATATATATATATATATATATATATATATATATATTTTCAATCGATTATGTTTTTTTATATAATAAATTATGTCTCTCTCTTTTTAAAGATTATTTATTTTGTTTTTTAATTATTACAATAATAAATAATTAAATAAAAATATTAAAATAACAAATAAATTTATTTAAAATTAATAAAATCATATTTTAGTCAATATTATCTTCCACAATTTTTTATTTTTTTTACCACTTTTACTCTATTTTCCTTAATTCAAACACTACTTTTCACTCTCTTTCTTTTCCTACTCATTCAAATCCTTTTTTCAATCCAAACATAAATTTATAGACATTTTTGTCCATTTTTAGATATAATTTCCTATCCTTCAAATTTCCTCGATACACATTTGTTTAATTAACACTTCTTGGTACTTTTGAACCTATAACATCCTCACAATTTCAACACATTATTATATTCAAATATTTTTATCAATAACAAAATATTCTTGAGAAAATGTCCTTTTTGTTTTTATTTAAGAAGACATAGGATATTCTCTCATCTTTGATATTTTTATATTTTAGAATAATTTAAATTTAAATTAACTAATTTTCCTGAAGAAAGACATTGAAAACTTGCTAAAAATTCAAATATTATTTCTTTTTACTATGACTATTAAGTTTTTTCCCTTTGTTGACCCTTATAGGACCAATTTTAGTGTTCATTCATAAAAGACTTGTTCCCTTCATCCTTAGAAGGATATAAAGTTGTGTTCATCAACAAAAATATATGAATATTGGACATGGTTAGATTGAGTTCAGAAGACTTTGTTAGGAATCCAAGCATGAATTGAAATTTCACATTGAGTAAAAATTGAAAAATTGAGTAATTTATAAGTGAGAAAGACTCGTAACCTAATGTTTCAAGGTTTTTTTGTTTAATATGATGTCATTTATTCTTATATGGTTGGTTCATGTTTCATTGTTGAGAATCTTTTTGTATTAGTCTCCATTAAAAATACCCATCAAACTTGTGGTGGACATTTGAAAAAAATTGAAATTTTTTATTTCATCCAAGTGAGTAGGTTCAACACTTATTCGTTCAATGATGTTTTTTTATTATAGTACATTTATGGAAATGGAGATCTACGTCCTCTCGAACTACTTTGTGATCCACTTTTCTTAACCCTTATCAATGTTGTTGTGATAACAAGTTCAAAACCACATTGAAAGAAATACATTCCGAGCTGATTCAAAAGTATGACTTGAGAAAAAAAAGAGAGAAATATTATAATATTTGGATATGTCTCTACAACCCAAATCACCTCATATTTATAATGGAATATTGTAGAGATATATTGATTAGAGGGGAGACGAAAAGATTAACATCTAGAATATACAACTCATAAATAGATACAACTAATTAATATTAATCTAGTAAATATAAATCATGTGAGTCTAACACTCCCCCTTAAGTTGGAGCATACAAATTTTATTTTCCAATCTGTGAACAAATAAACTCAATTTGAGGTCCTCTCAGATACTTTGTCAAAGCATCTACAAGTTGATCATTGGACCCAGAAAATTCAGTACTGATTTTTTTGCACAATAGCTTTTCCCGAATGAAATAATAATCAATTTCTATATGTTTTGTTCTCTCATGAAACACTAGATTTGAGGCAATGTGGAGATCAACTTGGTTATCACAATGCATTTTCATTTGTTGAACCTTACAAAAATTTAATTCTTGGAGGAATTATTTTACCCACATAAGCTCACAAGTAAGAGATGTCATTACCTAGTATTCAACTTTAGCAGTTGATCGGACAACTATATTTTGTTTCTTACTTTTCCAAGAAAATGATATTTCTTCTAAGGAAAAAACAATATCTTATGGTGAAGCATTTGTCCATAGGAGACCCTGCTCAATCAACATCACAATACCCAAAAACTTGAGTATTTCCTTTATCTTCGTGTAATAAGCCTTATCTTGGTGCCTTTTTTATGTATCTTAGGATATGGATGACAATATTCCAATGACCTGTACAAGGAGCCTACATGAACTGACTCACAACACCTACTACGAATGACATATCAGGTCTAGTAATATAAGATAAATAATTTTCCCAACTAGCTTTCTATATATTTCTAGGTTAGAGAAAACTTCCCCCTATTCTGATTTGGGTTCATTGGGCTATCCACAGGTTTACAATATGTCAAACTAGTTTCTTTTAAAATATCAAGAGCATATTTCCTTTGAGAGATTGCAACACCTTCTTTTGACTGGGTCACTTCAATACCTAAGAAATATTTGAGACTTCCAAGATCCTTAGTTTGGAAATGACTACATAAGTGTTCTTTTGATTGGGATATTCTAGTGACATTATCCCCCGTTATGATAATATCATTCACATACACTATTAAGTAAATACATTTTCCAAGGGATGTGTGACAATGGAAAATTGAATGGTCTGCTTCACTACGTCTTAGCCCAAAAGCTTGAACAATGGAACTAATTTTTTTCAAACCAAGCTCGTGGAGATTACTTTAGACCATAAAAGGAACAACACAACTTATGCACCAAACCAGACTCCCCCTAAGCAACAAGCACAGGAGGTTGCTCCATATAGATCTCTTCATCTAGATCACCATGGAGGAAGACATTTTTAATGTCCAATTTATGAAGTGATCAATGTCGAATAGCTACCATAACAAAAAAGTGACAAATAGTAGTTATTTTGGTCATTGAAGAAAAAGTATCATTATAATCAAGGTCATAGATATGAGTATGTCCTTTTGCAACCAGTTAGGCTTTTGAGACGGTCTACTTCACCAATGGGATCAACTTTAATGTTATGTATCCATCGACATCCGAAAGTCTTCTTCCCGATCGGAAGGGGAACTAATTCTCATGTATTGTCACCATCTAGGATGATCAAATGTTTTATTCACATTATTAGGAATAGTAATAGAAGAGAAAGAGGATATAAAAGATTAATAAGAAGGAGACAGATTGTGATAACTAAGAAAATTATAGATAGGATGTGGATTGTAGGTAGTACGAATACCTTTAGGGAGGGCAATGAGCTAAGTTGAATCATCATTATCAGGAATTGTGAAAAAGGGAGATGATTGAGAAGAACCTAATGAAGAAGACTCATCTTAAAGCATTGGACTGGTCACTTGGGTCCTACATTGGTAAGTAATAAAAGGTAGAACAAATGGAGTAGGTGCGTCTTGAATGGGAGATGATGGGTTAGTAGAAGGATCAAGAGACTCAATCAATGGTATAAGAAGGACTTGTTGGACAAACTGAACATCCTGGACGGATGAAGGAAAAAAAAAAGAAATTTGTTCAAAGAAGGTAACATGGGCATATATGTAATATTTCTTGGTTTTAGGAGAATATTAATGATATCCTTTTTGAAAATGGGAATAGCCCAAAACACACTTGATAGCTTGGGTTGAGAGTTTGTCCAATCCTAGAGTAATATCATGAATAAAACAGATACATCCAAACACACAAGGAGAAACATGAAAGATAGGTTCATTGGGATAAAGAATGGAATAAGGAACTTTATTATTAAGAGAAGATGATGACATTCTATTAATAAAAAAAAAACAGGCAGTGAGGACAGCATCACCCCGATGATGGACCAGTATATTGGCCCCAAACAATAAGGTACATGTAGTATCAATTAAGTGTCTATTTTTCCTTTCAATAACACCATTTTGTTGAGGTTTGTGAGGAGAAGTAGACTAATGTAAAATGTCATGTGATTTTCAAGAGTGCAGAAAAATCAAAAGAGAAATATTTTTTGGCATTGTCACTTCTTAAAATTTTACTAACTTTCCCAAATTTATTGAAAATTTCATTAAGGAAAGATGTAAAGATAGGAAAAGTTTAGAATGATCTTTCATTAAATAAACCCAAGTGTATTTTGAAAAATCATCAATGAAAGTAACAAAATATTTAAAACCAAAAGAAGAAATTTAACTTGGTCCCCAAACATCATAATGAATGATAGAAAAGGAAGACTCACATCTAGATTTAGAATATCTAGGAAAGGAAGACCTAACATGTTTTCCTAATTGACAAGACTCATATTCTAAAGTTTGAAGATGGTTAAGTTTTGGAATAATTTTCTGTAACTTTTCCAAGTGGGGATGACCTAAACATTCATGTAAAAGCTAGGGGTAAGGAGATGCAAAACAAGACATAGATGAGTTAGATCTAAAGTATTAGAGACCTTTAGATTCATGTTCTTCTCCAATCAATCAACTCGTCCCACGTTCTTATATAACAAAAGAATTGACATCAAAGGCTATAGAGCAATTTAATGATTTTGTTAGTTGACTTAAAGAAATGAGATTAAAAAGATGGGCAAGGATGAAAAGAACAAATTTTAAGTGTAAGGTAGGAGAAAGGGATACTTGGTTAATTCCTTCATAAGCAACTTTGGATCCATTGGTTAGGGTTATAAAATGATTATTTTTAACATAAGAAAGAGAATAGAATATAGAGGTATTACCAAAAATATGGTCAGAAGCACCTGAGTCAATAATCCATGACTTTGACACTCCACAGATTGTGAAATGCAGATAGTTGACATGATTGGAATTAAACCTAAACTATTAAACTTCAACCTCAAATATTCCTCATCATAAAATTTTGGGACGGGTCTAGAGGTCATTTCTAACCCAAAGGAGATAAGACAACACATAAATAGAGAAAAACAAATAAAGGAACCCCCAAACGAATGACGGGTAACATCGACAGTGGACGTTGATGATGGCAAACAACAGTGGTGGTGAAGGCTGGTAGCAACTGATGGTGACCGATGACGACTAACAGTTACGTGTGGCAATTGGCGGCAATCGACAATGAGCCGAATAGAACCAGAACAAGCTGAGTAGGATAAACCTATTCTGATACCAACTTGAGGAAAAAAGAGAAATATTATAATATTTGGGTGTGTCTTCACAACCCAAATCACCTCATATTTATAATGGAAGGTTGTAGAGATATATTGATTAGAGAGGAGATGAAAAGATTAACATTTAGAAGATACAACTCATAGATAGATACAACTAATTAATATCAATCTAGTAAATATAAATCGTGTGAATCTAATAGTATGGATATTTTAAAGTTAATATTAGTTGGTCTAGATAGGCTAGGTTCGACGAGACGAGTTAGTGATTTTAGCCTGTCAACCTGTTTTGGCATGTCTCGCCTAGACCACCAATTCAATGGGTTAGGGGTGGGACAAAATTGAGCGTGCTAGCCCGCTTTAAAAAATATTTATAAATTAAAATAAATTATTATTATTATTAAAAATATTATATTATAATTAGTTATTTTAACACATAAATATAATTTTTTTTAATTTATCTAATAAAAATATTAATAAATAAAAACTTAAAAATTATTTATATAACTAAAGATATATTTTTTTAAAAATACATATAAAATAATCTATCAACGAGTTGGCTAGTTAACCCACCCTTTGGCAGGTGGGTTGGATTCTATCGGTCGTCTTGACTATGACGGATCAATCCATCCCATCCTATTTTTGGCAGACTAGAAGTAGGACAGGTCAAAATAGGGTGGGTTGACCCGTTTTGTCATTCCTATTAAAAACTCATCAACTGAGAGTGATCTTATTGTCATCAAATAACTAAGAATGCATGAATATCTTACTTATATTTTTACTTTTTTAATCATAGTCACATCAACTTATAATATGCTTATTATAATTGTTAATTTTGTAAAATTTTCTCAACTAATTATTTTTACAAGATTACACTTATTATCAATATATTGATCAACCTTAATTCATTTAAGGTCCAAAGTTCTTTTATTTTGAATGCCCATATTAGACCAAAATGACACAATTTATCAATAGGACTATATTTAAGCTTTAACATTCTTTAACAATTAAGTTGAATAATGAATGTCATGTTCAGTATCGTTTGAATCTTCTTAAGAAAAATATTAGTTATAATCTTGCTCGACATCCAAATATACAATTTCAACCTTTTGTTTTTATATGTTAGAATCAACATAGTAAGTAGGTCTCATCAAATCAAACTTTATCTTAAGAAAAACATATTGATGGCTTTCGTTCCACTTGAAATCAACTTCTATTTTCAATGTTAAAGGAGAAAAAAACAAGATTTTTTACATCTAAACTATATATACCTTTTTATAAAGGTTATCTTATCTAAGATGCTTCAAATTTTGAAGATGAAATTCTCAAATAAAACATTTTGCTTTATTTTTATCCATCTCCACTCTCTTTGAATGATTAGTATATCCCAAGAATTCACCTATAGATACACAAAGATAAATCTTCAAATGATCCATTTTTTAACCATACTTTTGCATTTATTTGAAATATATTTTCAAGTTTTTTTAAGTGTTTTTCCTTTGTGTTTTAATTCTATAACAATATCATCAATAATCAATGTAAATTAGTATAAAATCTCTAAATCATGAAAAAACAAATTTATTATTCTTTAAGAATTTAGCCGTTACATTTTTTTAATTCAAAGTGCATTACTAGATGTTTCCAATGACCCCTAACATCCAAAGGTTGTTTCCAAAATATTTTCTCCTCAATATAAATTTTTAGTCCCAAAGATCGATCATTCGTAGTTCAACCAATGCAAATAGATCATTATTAGATCATACCCCAAAATTGGACAATTAATATGGTGAAAGTGATATGGGATTGTAGATTTAATTATTTCAATTGGGAACTTGAAGACAAACAATTTTATGGTGGGAAGATGGTAATGGTGTGAATGTTTTAAAAGTAAAATATTGTTTAGATGGTTAGAAAGTTATGTAAATAGAGGACTAAAATTATTTATCCTAAAAATTATCTCACAATGATAGAAACTCTCTTTAGTTATCTCCAACATTTGAGTAAGAAGTTTTGTTGAAATTTAGGTATGGGAGCTACAAAAGGGACCAAAAACAATGATAAATAAAATCACCTTGTTGGATTTTTAATCAGGTAAGTATTTGTTACTTCTTCTTTTTCTAGGTTATTTCTAAGTTAAGAAAAATTCAATTAGTAATTCTGACTATTTTCATTAAGTATGAGTGTTGCCCAAGTGTTAAAATAAAGGGAGTAACGTTAGACTACATAAATACTTTCAAATGATAATATAACTAGATTGGGGATACGTGTCTTCGAATGTTTTAATGCAGCTAGAAATGCATGTTTAGGTTATTTTTGTTGTACGATATGCTTTTGATGTATAATTTGTTTAGGTTGTTTTGGTGTTATAATGTGTTTTTGATGGATAATTGTAGTATGTATAAATTGTTTTGTGGAGTATTAAAATTGAAAAATACTCAGAAATTAGTGAATCAAATTTGTTCTGACTCTTGCTTTTCAAGCGAGGCATTGTCGGTTGAGCAAGAGATCAAATTGCGAAAGTGGTGGAAAATGGTGATGGTTTACTCAAGTGATAAATTGTCACTCAATCGAAAAATCATTTGGTAGCTATTTGCTTAAGTAAGAGTTATGTCGCTAAAGCAAAAAGCTCACCTAAGGAGAGAGAATTGGTACAACCTATATTTGGCTCAAACAACATATAAGAGAAATTGAGGTTGATTATGTATGGTAGTTGCTCAATAAACCATAATGTTGTTCAAGTAAAGAACAAATACAATGAATGATTTGTTCTAGAAATACTTTGCTCAAGTGAGAGTGATAATGCTCAAGAGAAGTAATATCACTCAAGTGACATGAGTTTATTCAAGAGAGGAAGAGGAAAGTATTTTGTTCATGCAACAAGTAATCGATCATGCAAAATATTCTTGTGTACAATGGAATATATTACGGCAAGGTAATAGCATGTGTTGAGGCTATGTCAAGTGTAGAACTTTAATCATAATTAATTAAGACATGTATTATCTGTAAAAGACTAAGTTGAGTCAAGATTATTACCCAAAATTGATTAAGGCATGTAGTATGTATATTGGGATAAGTCAAATCAAGAGTATTACTCAAAATCAATTAAGTTGTATATTTGTGTATAAGACTAGTCAAGTCAACATGAGACATATGGTCTATAAATGACAATAGTAATTGAGGAGAAACTATAATATTAGTGTGATAACTATGCGCAAATAAAATAAAATATTAAATTCTATTAATAGTCCTGATTACATAAATTAAGATATCATATTATAAAAAACATCTAAGGAGATAATTTATGATTTGTCCTAAGATTATAAGTGAAGTTGTCCATAATTATATTTTATAAGTAGGAAAGTCAGACGTTAATAATAAGAAAATATTAGTCAAAAATATCTACTTGTGTAATGTAAAATGGATATATGTAAATTAGTATGTACTATATTTTGAAGTGAATGTACTATTTTCTTGTTTTTATACTTAAATGTTATGATTATGTTAATACTGGCATTACATGTGTGAAGGATCTTATACTAAATACTTATTTAATGTTATATTCAATCAATACAAATTTATTTCACAAGACAATATATTATATAAATTTCTAGGTCGTTAAGTTAAAGATCATCCCAAGACCAAAATAATGATTTAATTCAAAAAGACATTTTCTTCACTTTTTTGTGCTACCGGGCATCCTTGGAAGAATCCTAACGATGACAAACAAAAGGGTTCTTGTCTCCGGAATGAAATAAGTTAAAAACATTACTTTAACGGGGAATGAATTAGAAAATTCACCTGAAATACAAGGACATTATTTCAAGGTAACAAATAATTAATTCTCTAAAAACGGGTACTTATGCTGATGATGTTATTGCGATTTCTCTGTCAATAGCCACAGCTACAATGTTGACGCCCTTAAGTAAACTCCGACCGTTTCAAGATAAAACGAGAACGGAGTATATCTTTTCCGTTTAAACGCAGATACATACATGCTGCATTATGCTTGGTAGATGGAGCATACATGAAAGTGAAAAGAATGTTAAACAAATTATATGTAGTTGTTAAGTTGAGATAATACTCTGACCTAGTTCGCGACAGAACATGCACTCTTCCATTTGGGTGTGAAATAAAACGCTCCCCAGTTCTCACAATTGGGGATAACAAAACAGATAAAGTAAAAGGCTGATGAACCAGAACTAGATCTACTTGAATCATTCATAGCCTCGTACATATAACCTTTTATGACCTGGGCTTAAATGTTGAACTTTTGTGGAACATCAAAGTCATCAAAGTCATATCTTTGTCTCTCTCTTCCAGCCTGAGTACATAAGTTACTCTTGTTAGTTAAAAATATTTTACATAAGGTTTAGATAACAGAACAGTTGATGCACACACCTTAGACAAATACAACTGATCACATGAAATTTGTTCATCCATGGCCGTTAGCTTCCTTGATAGTGCCATTATTCTGGACATAAATTGACAAAGAAATGCTTCAGTACAAAAGGAATGGCATTATAAACACAGATCACTTATGGAATTAACCATTAAAAGTAATAAATCTGAAAATTTGTCATTTCAAAGTTTCAGGTGGAACACATTGATTGATACTAGTAAAAAGATATTAAGCTAAACGAGCTTTTAACATAAAATATACCTCTGGATTGATGAGTCAATATGCTCAATCATCTCACACGTTTTATACTGTTCAGGATCCTCCAAGAATCTCACCATTCCGTCCTTCTGGTTGATAGTAGCATATATCTCACCATCCTGAATCTGTAGTTTAGGAGTACATTGTTAATGGTATATTAATGCTGAATGAAAATGACTATGTATATCAATTGGAGGACCACCATTTGTAGAACATGCATTTCAGCTTCTTTGGGGCTATTTAACTGTACTGTGCTAGCTATATCTTGGAGAGAAAGGGTCAAGTATGTCTGGGTCAATCTTTGAATATTTCGCTTATACATGGATGATACAACCTGCTTAACCAGTCCAAGGTTGTTGTCCTGAAACAGAAATTTACACGAGAAATCTTAATAACTAGATATCGTCAGAACCGGAACTTAAACACAATATTCAGCAAGGATTCTAGTCAAAATGCCTAATGCTTCAAATAAGTATTAAGTATGTAAAAGAACCCACAGACTCAAACTTCTCTGCATTTGTCTTGACGTATGCCTCTAATTCTGCAACTTTTCCAGTGCTGTAACTATTTGCCAATTCAACATACGGCTGCCCAAATGAGACAAAGATTAAAAAAAGTTAACATAGCAAGTCAAAAGCACTTCGAAGTAATCACACAAAATTGCTAATAGCAAGTTATGCTGCCATTCATGTTGATTGTACAAGAAAGTAAATCTAAATAGCAAACCATGAATAAAAGTCCAGGGAAGCCATCCACTGCATCTAAGATTATCCCCGTAGACAGCTTACCTAGAGGAGGATATACCAAAGCAGGCAGAATGTTGTACAGGTGTTACTGATTGGAAATGACAGGTTCCAAAATGGGAAAAATGTAACTTAAGTTCACCTGTACTTTTTGTAAAATTTGCTATTGATCCATATTTTCAATTTCACTTCCAACTTCTGAAGATATATATGAATTCAGAATTTTCTCATGTTTAAACTTAATATTTAGTGATAGTTTTGCCACAGAAGTTGGAACAACAAAAATGTGAATTTAGTGTTTCCCAGACCATTGCCTAATTACTAACTAATTACAAAGTTAATAGAACCCAATCAACCTGTTAAATAAGTATACTTTATATCATTATGTGTCTTGTAATGGTAAGTCTCTCTTTATCTTTTCCTGCGATAGCCGTTTGGTTAGGTGCAACAGTATCAGTATACCTCTTTTATTTTTGTTAATATATATTTAGTAATATTTATATTCGCTTTATTTATTATATATGTGTATATATTTCTTATAGTATATTATTTAGATTTTTTTATTAAAATCTACCTTATTATAATTTAGTTTTTATTAATATAATTAGTTAGTTCATTATATTTTTTATTACTATTTTTAATGTATTATACTTTAAATAATAATAATAATAATAATAAAATAATAAAAACATTATATAAGATATATATTAGCTAGGTTATTTTTTTTCCTTAGTTTATTTTATCATAATATAATAAATAACTGCTCTTATATATGTTAAAATACCCATACAAAATGACAGAAACTTGGAATCTAACTAAGGCTCAGAAAAGAGAAAGCTACACCCTAAAACCCTAAGGACCCATGACCCATCAGTTGCTGTTAGCTCCCACCATGCCCTCAAAATGAAACATTATGCGAGGCATCATAACACAAAAGGAAGGTCAGCTGCAGCATAATGTAGGTCACAGCGTACAGCATGGCAGATTACAGTTGGGCTTCTCAGTGACAGTGCTAAAACATCCCAGAAGCATGATTGCAGCCACTACAACCACAATCTAAAATACAATGTGGCAAGGTCTGTGTCGTGCCTCACTGTCAATCCACTCTGCCCCACTGCAAAGTGGCCACTCCAGCCACTACTGATAACATAGGTTGAACGCTGCCCTTCCAACTGGATTGGACAAAGATTATTCAACTCCAGTTGGATCAAAAGATACTTTGGCATAGGGAATTCCACACTCAAGGGTGATCACAGTGGAAGAATCCACAGATGCAGCTTGGGCTAAAGAGAGCAATACCAAATGTCAATTCCTTTCTCACTTTCTTGAGGACAAGAATTAGGAGGGTGGTATTAATGTAATATGTATCCAGCTACCCTAGAAAACCATGACTCATTTAACCCAGTGTTTACTAAGGCTGGAACTATTCCTATTTTTCAAAACTATAAGACAGAATCTCCTCTAATTTTCATTCTGATAGCACTTAGATAGAAGTTAGTTCTATCAATATCTTGCACGCAAAATAAAAGCCAACTTATACAATTTGACCTTCTAAACTATAAGACAGTCTCAACCAACTAAATTAAAGTCATACCAGACAGAAGTTCTTTAGGTTCCTTTGAGCAGCAGAAGAAGAATACTTAGGAAGACTGATAGAGAACTGGCACAAAAAATATGGCAGGTCATCAGATGATAAACTACAAATATAGCACCTCAAAATAAAGTTTATTTTGGTTAAAATGATCCCCTACACAAAGGGTTTGTCATCTGGCAAGAAAGATACTGTTTAGGATGTGATGCATAGGAAAAACAGGCGTAATATCTAAATAAACTAGACATATACCTGTCCATTTCGAATGAGAGAAACCAATATATACTTTTTGTAAGCTTCAACAGCTATAGCATTTATGGTAGGCATGGGAGCAGTTACAACCTGGAATATATAGCCCATAAGTTATATTAAAAAGGCTGAATCAAAAGGTTGATACAAGAACAAATCATGAACAATATAAGTTAGCGATGCATGTAGATTGCTTACATTATGCAGAAGGTCCAGTGCTTTCTGAAAGCGCTTATGTCCAATGCATATCATACCTCTGTTAGAAGATCAAAATCAGACATCATGCAAATGCTTCACTAAGCTCATGACCAAATGTATAATACAAAATTATTAAATATTGATAAGTATTCAAAGTACTCACCAATCTGATTCACGTACATTTCTATTTAATTATGATCAAGATTAGATACGAGAATAAAATCATTTTTTCATATCCCATTGCATTTGCAGAAACAACAGAGTCTAGAGGACAGATCAAATGAGGGCTAGAAATAGCTATGGGAATTAATAATCATGCTGACTCCTTGTTTACATATTGAACTTGTGTTAAGAGGCTTGGTCAATAGGAAACTGGGAAAATTAGATAATAAAAAGATGTGCATCCAGATTAAAAGGGCTCAACATTTTTCATGCATCATGTACTTTGAGCAAAACTCCACCATTTTAAACATTCAAACAAAAGAAAGGAAACTCATTAATAAATTTCCATACACTTCCCCAATACCCTTCCTTCCCCTTACTTTTTCTTTCCCTTTCCTCCCCTCCCAACTCCCAAATACCTACATGAATTGACATGGGAAAATCCTACAAACCCACCACTACTTTTAAAAACACAGAACATTACTACAGCATATTGAACATAAGTACAAAAAATTCAATAAAAATATTACCAATGTTGAAGAAATTACAGCACATTCCATCAATTAAAACACAATACTAAAAACTCAGAAAGAAAAAAAGGAAGAGAGAGCAACGCACCCATAATAACAGTAGAGAAAAAGGTCACGCGGATGGTCAACTTCGAAAACATCATCATCCAATACAGATAAACCAGTTTTGTAGCACTTTGACAACAAGCAAAGCAGAAGAAACTCTGAATGTAGGGGAGTTAAGTGTTCTGAAGAGACCTGAAGTTTCCGAAGTGCAGTGAACAAAGGAGCCACACCTCGTATCGGAGCTTCCAACAATATCACTTGATCCTTCAACCTCTTACACACGGATAAAACTACAAAAATTCCGGAAAGAGTAGAAACACAATTAGTCAACTGAAAACCAAGAAACAACATCAACATCATGCTAAAGTCTCTGCTGACTTCAATCGTTCAACCTCCTACACAGGCAAAAACTACAAATTTCCAATAAAACAAAAACTCAATCGAAATCATCAACGTCAGATTACAACCCCTTCTGTTGTAGATCCTCAACTTCTTAAACACATAAAACTACAAGGTCCCAAAACTAAAATCAAAATTAAACAACCGAAAACTAAGAATGAAAATCAACAATCTCGCTCACTAAACTTTTTGCCTCTATCCCAATCAACAGTGGTTAGTGAGAAATATGATGGATGAGTGAAGATAGAAATAAGCAAGGATGTTTGGCGAAGGAGAGTTAGAGAAAAAATAGTTTTAGAAGTAGAGGGACTCACCCGTACTCTTCCATTCTTTCTCATTTATTTCCTTTCATCTCTCAGTGTCTCTCCTTATTTCTTCTATATTTCTCGTCAACCAAACACTTAGAATTTCTACTTTAATTCCCACCTATTTCCATTCAACCTTTCTATTTCCATCTACTCTATTTTTCTCCTCTGACCATAACATCTCTCCTTCACTTTTATTGAATTGTAAAAAAACACTTGATGAAACACAAGTATCTCAAAACCAATAAACTAATTTCAACCCGCAATATTATTTATTTATTTATTTAAATCATACGCAAGCAACAGAGTGTGAAAATTAGAGCGCAAAAAACAACTTTGGCCCGCAAGTTCCCACAATGTCAAGAACCGACCCTAACTGCGACCTAATTTAAAACCATTTCTACAAAAGCAATGAATCAAGCAAATCAAAAGATTCGAATCTCCTTTTCCGTACATTTATCAGGCGCCAGACGAATCTGCTCTTTGCTACAAGCGCCAATGAACGAGGCAACGGTTGGAACAGCTGTCTCAGCCTGTGTTTTGGTAACCGGACCAATCATGGAGGCTTCTCTGCAATCACAAAACCATCAGAAACAAAATTCTCGCAATCTAGCAACAATATTCTAGGGTTCAAAATCTAGGGTTTAGTGCATCGACAAATTACGGTTATTATTAAATTTTTTGGGACATACAGGATGTAGAGAAAACCAAGGGAGTGAATGGAGGGGTCGAGTTGAGTGAGAAGCGGGAAGAGGCGGGTTGACTCGGACCGGAGCGAGTCATCGGCTTGTTTCAGAATACTGTGGAGACGATTGACGTCGCTGGAAGTGCTCGATAGCCCTTGGATTTGGGCGACCAAAGCTTCCAGAGGGTCCATGCAGCGCAGTGATTCGCTTTTCACTCGCTCGCTCGCTCACTCGTTCGTTCGTTACTACCGACTCAGTGAAAACAGGTAACAGTGACTCGCTTCAGAAGCACCTCTTTGATATTTTTCTTTTCTCGTCTGAGAATGTAACGTAATAATTGAGAGCTAGTTTGCGTTACTACTCTTTTTTACGATGGGAGGACCCACCGACTGTGGCAGCCGTTGGATTGGGAATGAATTCACGGTAGATGGTTCATATGTTAATATTTATATTAATTTTTATATGATATTTATCTTTTTATGAAATATATTTTTACATTACATAAATTTTTTATATGAATATTATGATATTGGTGCAACTTTTTTTTAATTTTACCGAGTAAGTCGAATTAGGAAGGACGAATTTCTATATCATGCACGATTTATGTTGATTTGCAATTTTTTTTTCATTCTAAAGTCATATTATCTAACACAAGTTTGGATTTTTTTTTTTAAGTTGTATCATCTAGGATGACTATAGATTTTTTATTTTTTTTATTCACGTTTTGTAGTATTTTTAATTTTTTTATATTTTAATTTAACTATAACATAATATTACTTTGTAATATTTTTTATTTATCATATTTTAATAAATAAAATTAAAAATATAAGACTAATTAATAAAATAACGTATATTAATATTAATAGAAAAAATTACATGATGCAAAAAATGTAATACAAAAAATAATCTAATGTCTGGAGTCTATTATACAAGGTGGTATTCTTCTATTTCATCTGGATTTCTCGTTTTGTTGAGGGACATATGTTTTTTTGTGATTTTGTACCAATATCATCATCTTCTTCTTCTTGAGTTGGATTATGAGGTGTAGGAATTGTTAGCCGATAAGAATTCATAGATCTAACTTAATGATATGATGAACATGGTGTCATGGAAGATGTGGCAAAAATATTCGATGCAAAATGCATCATATTGAATGTGTTAGGGATATATCCTCCGAAATTATTTCTCTAGCTAGATTTTGAAGATGATCTACATAACCATAGAATGGAATAGGTTGGAAAGTAGATTCACCAACTTGTTGATAAGTTGACGAACCAAGTTGTTGATAACTTAATAGACCAACTTGTGATAACTTGATTGAGTAGGTTGTTGGTAACTAGATGGACTAATATCATATAAGTTGGTTGATGTGTTTGATGATCACGACGAACAACAACATCACAAACCATCAATCACAAACCATATACTAAAAAATCTCATGCAACAGAAATCTTTTAATTTTAGTATTAAAAATTTAAATTATATTTTATTAAATTAAACTAATTACAATATATTTTTCTACTTTGAGAATGAACAATATAATTAAACTCAAAATTGACAATATTATAATATATTTTTGAACTCTTTTGGATTAATTTTTTTCCTAATTTTTGATAAAGTTAATTTTAATATTTAAAAGTATTTAACATTTTGAATTCCGAAAGGTTTTCTCTAATAGCAAATTTAAAAACATAATATTCAAAAAAATAGTTAATGTAAGTTTTCATTATGATCGATGAAAAGAAGAACATAATTGAGAAGATATGATAAGCGGTTCCACGTTAACCGCTATCTAAAGTATAATTAAGATAGCGGTTAATAGTTAACCGCTTATTAGAAGATGCACTTGTAAGAGCGGTTCTTGTGGAACCGCTATCTTAAATGTATTTCAGCTTGAGCGACAATGGTCTTGCTCGAGCGAAACGCCCCTGCACAAAATTGGTATTCTCGGGTTGTATTTCGCTTGAGCGACACCACTCTCGCTCGAGCGAAATACGATCTGATCGATCATAACTTGAAATGATCGATCATAATTGAAGGATATAATAGCGGTTCAGTTATAACCGCTATCCGAAGTGTATAGTAGATAGCGGTTAAGGTTTAACCGCTATTAGAAGTTCCCTTTAAGAGCGATTACGGTGGAACCGCTATCATATACAACCATATTTTAAGATTGTTAAGTCTCGGGTTGTATTTCGCTTGAGCGAGACTACTCGCTCAAGCGAAATCGATTCCGATCGATTATATTTTCAAAATGATCGATCATATTTGATAATTTTTTCAAAAAATTAATTATAATCGATTAGTTTTCTAAATTATTGATTAGAATTGATTAGTTTTTCAAATAATAGATTAGAATTGATTAATTTATGAAATTTATAATTAAAAATATAGATTATCTAAGAATATTAACTATTGTAAAGATAAAGTAGAACATGGGAGGAGATGAGGATGATAATATAATGATAGAAGTTACAAAAATGTAGAATTGAGAAGTTTGAAACAAAAAAAATTAAGAAAATAGAGATTTAATTACACTTTTAATAAATTGAAGATAATACTAGTTTTGATATTGATTTTTATTTTAATTATTTAAAACAGAGAAACTATAATTTTAGTTTCTAAATACTCAATTTAAAGAATTAAAGTCATTATTATTTAATCTTTTAATTTTAGTATTAAAAATTTAAATTATATTTTATTAAATTAAAATAATTACAATATAATTTTCTACTTTGAGAATGAACAATATAATTAAGAAGATCAAGTCTAATGTTATTGATGCTAATTTTAACAATAATACAATAATATTATTTTCGAAAACGCCCATATGAATGTGAATATTTTGATTATTATTATATAAAATAATTAAAAGAATAAGGTAAATAGAAAAGTAAAATGCATGGTTATACCACTTTCCTTTTAATCTATAATTAGTTAGGTATGAATCAAATGTAAAGTCTAATGTTATTGATGCTAATTTTAAGAAGATCACAAAATGTAAATTAAAATAATTACAATATAATTTTCTACTTTGAGAATGAACAATATAATTAAACTCAAAATTGAGAATACTCTTATACATTTTTGAACTCTTTTGGATAATTTTTTTTTCCTAATTTTTGATAAAGTTAATTTTAATATTTAAAACTATTTAACATTTTGAATTACGAAAGGTTTTCTCTAATAGCAAATTTAAAAACATAATATTCAAAAAAATATTTTAAGATTGTGAATTCTCGGGTTGTATTTCAGCTGAGCGACACTACTCTCGCTCGAGCGAAATAAGATTCGATTGATCATAACTTGAAATGATCGATCATAATTGAGAGGATATAATAGCGGTTAGGGGTTAATCGCTATCTAAAATGTATTTTAGATAGCGGTTAGGGGTTAACCGCTATCTAAAATATATTTTAGATAGCGGTTAAGCGTTAACCGCTATTAGAAGTGTTATTCGCTCAGCGAAAATAACATCGCTCGAGCGAAACGCCCTGCACAAAATTGGCATTCTCGGGTTGTATTTAGCTTGTGCGACTCTAGTCTCGCTCGGCGATTTTTTGTCTCCGATCGATTAGATTTTCAAAATGATCGATCATATTTGATACTTTTTTCAAATAATTAATTATAATCGATTAGTTTTCTAAATTATTGATTAGAATTGATTAGTTTTTCAAATAATAGATTAGAATTGATTAATTTCAAAATATATACTAAAAAATTATAAATAAAAATATAAATTAGTTAAGAATATTGACTATTGTAAAGATAAAGTAGAACATGGGAGGAGATGAGGATGATAATATAATGATAGAACTTACAAAAATGTAGAATTGAGAAGTTTGAAACAAATAAAATTAAGAAAATAGAGATTTAATTACACTTTTAATAAATTTAAGATAATACTAGTTTTGATTTTGATTTTTAAATATTTATTTTAATTATTTAAAACAGAGATACTATAATTTTAGTTTCTAACTACTTGAATTTAAAGAATTAAATTTATTATTATTTAATCTTTTAATTTTAGTATTAAAAATTTAAATTATATTTTATTAAATTAAAATAATTACAATATATTTTTCTACTTTGAGAATGAACAATATAATTAAACTCAAAATTGACAATATTATAATACATTTTTGAACTCTTTTGGATTAATTTTTTTCCTAATTTTTGATAAAGTTAATTTTAATATTTAAAAGTATTTAACATTTTGATATAATGAGCATGATAATATAATGATAGAATTTACAAAAATGTAGAATTAAGAAGTTTAATTTTTTTTTAAGAAAATAGAGATTTAATCATACTTTTAATAAATTTAAGATAATACTAGTTTTTATTTTTATTTTTAAATATTTATTTTAATTTTTTAAAAACAGAGAAACTATAATTTTAGTTTCTAAATACTAAATTTAAAGAATTAAATTTATTATTAATATTTTTTAATATTGTTTTAAATGTGGATATCTTTAATATTTTGGACATATAAATATAATTTATACATGTTTTTAAACCTTTTTCTAATATTTGTTTTTAAAAATATAATATCATTTTTAATATTTTATAGATTTTATATTTATATATTTATAAAAGTAATTGGATTAAATTTATTATCCTCTCATATATTATTATACATTTAGCGTAATTTTAGTTTAATTTAAAATTAGAATACAAATATACTATACTAATATACCATTATATTATTTTCATTGTATATAAATTACAAAATTAATAATTTGTATACTATACTATACTAACATATTATTTGTATACTATACTAATAGTATAATATACTATATTATAATATTATTTGTATACAAAACTAATATCTTTATATATAAATATATAAATATGGAAAGATATAAATATATGTAAAAATATAAACATATAAATATATATAAATATGTAAAGATATAAACATATATCTTTAATATTTTGTACATGTAAATATAATTTATATATATTTTTAAATCTTTTTCTAATATTTATTTTTAAAATATAATATTATTTTTAAAATTTAATATTTTTTTTCAAATATATAAATATATAAAGATATAAATGTATAAGGATATAAATAAATATATAAATATATCAATATATAAATATATCAATATATAAATATATCAAAATATTAATATATCAATATATCAATATATAAATATATAAATATATAAATATATAAATA